GGATATTAATTAAACACCACTTCTCACTTTTAGTTTTTTTTAGCTATTCTCAAACTATTCTTGAAAATAGAATAATTCAAAGTAAAATGATAAATATAAGTAATTAACTTTGTTGAACTTGTGACCAAGAAAATATAAATGAAAAGCAAAAATGAAAGAGATTTAGAATAACTCTCTTAAATATTAAACAATTAACTTATTTTAAGTATTAAAAAAAGGCTCAAAAAAGTATTTATTATGGACTAGAGGGAGTCTAAGGTCTCATTTGTTCTCATTAAGATTAAGACCTTTGAATCTGAATACACGTTTGAATATTAAGATTTGCATTAAGAGCTAGGTGTCTAGATCTAAATACACATCTGAATATTAAGATGTGGTCTCCAAATCTGAACACTGAATGATTATTGTTTGTTTTCAATATCTGAATGTGCATATGAAATTAAACATTATATTAATAAATTGTTATAAAAAAATCATTTCATCAGAAAATATCACTTTTTGATTAAAAAATAATCATAATCATCAAGCATAACATAAAAAAATCATGAATGAAATTTTTTTTATAGGCACAATATAATATCAAAAAGTTCAATAAGTATGATAGATATTAGTCGAAAAATAATAAATAAGGTATCACATTATCAACGCCTAACATATATTTTGGCTGAATAGAAAACTAAATTATTTTTTATCTTTTTTTCAATAACCTTAATCCAATTCTCTTAACTTGTGAACTTCTAATGTCATTCATGCTTTTTTGTAGCGGACGCTTTCACAAAACATACTAGCACATGTATTGTATAATGGCTCTTCTCATCCAAGTTCATCTAATTTTTTCATGTATTCTTCAAATGTAGATGCACTATTTTTTTAATTAATAACTCCAAAGCAGTAATCATCTTCTCATTAATTTCCAATTCAAACGAATAAGTTTTTATTTTTCCCCAAATTTTTTTTCCAGTTGAAATTGAAGATTGGAATGTAGAATTATTAGGAGCTCCATTATTTTTGTCACCAACTAGTCCAACAACAATAATATATCAAAGAGTCTCAATAAAATTATTCGCCTAAGACAAAATTCTAATGAGAGACTTCAAATATGTATACATAGTTATTATTTTTAATTATGAATAGTATTTCTTCACTCAAAAACCTTGATGAACATCAATACACTAAAAATATTATTGCAACAAGTGTTCTTGACAAACATCAATACTCCCTTAGAAAATTATTAATATAAAAAAAAATACTTGTAAAGATTATGAAAACTTATCAGTTCAAGAGTAAAAAATTGGTGTTTGATTGAGAAAAGAGAGGAAGAAAGTTTGTAGTTGAGAGAGCAAAAGTCACGCAAAGACCGAGAGAGGTGATACATTATTATTTTATAACTTATTAAATAAGTCTGAATGCTGTTAAGACTTTCCTGCATATCTGATTCATTCGGACCTTTTTAGGTCCATTAAGAGGCTTTTTGAAAAAAAGAAACGAATGAACTTAATGGGCTGAATCTGAATCATTCAGATTCAGACCTAAAAATCAAACACACTTAATGGACTGAATCTAAATGATTAAGATTCAGACCTCTATTAAGTGCAAACAAATGAGGCCTAAGCTAAAGGATCGGTCTTGAAAAATAGAACCGGTATTAACAGATAATTAACCTGTAGGCTATTAGTTATCTTTCCATTAATTTTCTCGATAAATATTATTTATCCATTTTTTTTATAAATAAGCTAGAGGGTTAACGAACTTATGATTAAGACCCCAAGTTTTTTTTTTTAAAAAGACAAAAAGACAAAAATGCTGTTATAGTTATAATAAAGCGATGTTAATTTTAGAGAAATAATGACAATTAATAGTCATTTTCAGAATAAAGAATTTTAATTATCAACAAAGGCGGAGTCAGGAATAAGAGTTAAGGGGAAACTAATTTCCCTTTTAAAAAAAACGAGGGAGGGTTCGAACTCACAACTCTAGCGTGACAAATATTTCCTTCCTTGATTGTGACCCATCAATCAATTTTATTAGTGATTTACATGTATATATAAATATATAATTTTTAGTACAAATACGAAATTTATGAAAAAATTATTAAATTCGTTCGAATTTATGAACCCCACCTAGCTTTATCAACCAACTGCAGTTGTGATACCTTAAAAGAAATCCATTATGGAAGTGAAATAAAACCACCAGTTAAATAATTAAAACCAACATAATGGAGATAACCGCAGTGACGACACCCCAACGTCAACAAATGTCGTTGGAGAGAAACCTAAAGTAAATTGGTTGGCTTAATTTATTAGCATCTTAATTAATTAATAATACCAATAAACTTTAAGTTTTGGTTATGCTAATGACCAATAGGTATTGCGGCGTCAATATTTTAAATAAAACCTGCCTCAGTTTTTTCTACAAATAAATTACAGACTTTCTTGTTCAAATGAAGTTGGTGACCACAATCTTCAAAAGATCTACATTAAAGTTTTTTTTTTTTTGATTCTATAAAATACTCAGTTCCTAATACCAACTCGAGCAAAAGATAAATAATTTTGGAGTGAAAATAATAATAATAATAATAATAATAATAATATACATTTAACCTGCCGGCCATCGCTTTACGCGCGAGAGATTGGAAACACTTTATGGTTTATTTGGTCCCTCGGTTATGAAAATTTTTATTTTAGCCTTTAATGATATCTAATTAAGTACATCTAACTTTAATTACTTGAAAATTTGCACTTTGAATCCCCTTTCATATGAATTTCTCAAATTTTCTGAATTATTAAATATTCCATCATTTGATAATCCATGTATCATGTAATTAAAACTTGTATTATTACGTCATATTTGAAGTTAACAAACTTAAAAAAATAGTACAAATATAGCATATTCTCTACATATTTAAAGGGATAAAAAACACATATCTATTTTAATTATTTAAATAATAAGGATATAATTAAGTGTTACTATCCCTCTCTAATAATAATTATGGATATGGAAAATCTTCATAAGGTTGCAACATGGATTTGGAAAAGTTGTGAAATTTAATCAAAGATACGTAATGATAAATATTCATTAATTGAAAAATTCGGAAACTTAAAAGTCATAAGTATTGAATTGGATATCCACAAATTAGATACATGATCTTTGCTTACAATGCCCTTTCAAGTTGAACTTTTATAAGTCTTAATTAAAACACGGGAAGACCAAATAAGGTGATTAATTATGACGTGTTAAATATGCCATACCTTTATTATAATATATGAAGCATCGGGTATGAGGCCAAAGTTTCTTTTGAAAAAATAATTCAATGAACGAGTAATCATTTTAATACTATTTTTTTTTAGCAAACGAGCCTAACTTCTTCGTTTTATTTTATGATGTATTTTGATGGAACAAAAAGCTTAAAAAGAAAGAGTATAGCCCTTTGTATTTTGCATGCTTGCACTAAGTGTACGATTTTAGCACTCAGTGAATTGAGTTAAATTTTAATCCACAAAATCTATATTAAATTATTTTTCTCATCTGTTACAATATTGATGAACACAATAATTTAATCTCTATGTTAGTGAAAGATAATAAGTACTCCTCTGTCCCTAATTTATTTGTCCATTTTTGAATTGACACACTATTAAGAAAACAATTAATGACATAGTGAGTTTACCATTTTACCCCTATTAATTATGAAGTGGATGAAAAGTTCTACATTTTTTAAAGTAATTAATCATTTAATTGAGGGTATAATAGATAAAAAAAATTGTCATTTCTTGATTTGTCAAAATGGACAAGTAATTAGGGACAACTATAAAAGAAAAAGTGGACAAGTAATTAGAGACAGATGGAGTATCTTATAAAATCAATCAACATAGGCATAAAAATTGACCCAAATCACCATAGTTAACAAAAAAAAAGCGTAGTTCAAGAACAAACTATAAATATTTGTGTGGGTATTGATAATTAGTGAAAGTAAAATGATAAAAAAAAATTAAAATAATTATTTCTAAATATATAACGAATATACTTTTCAGGATAGACTAAAACTAAAAATTCATTACAAATTAAAGTTTGATCTCCATCCGTTTACTTTTATTTTTCTAATATACTAAAAAAATATACTATATTCACTATGACTTATCTAATTGAAAAATAAAAAAATAAATTATCATTTTTTACTTATTTTACCCTTACTATTAAGTATTATATTTCATTTCCCAATATTTAAATAATTTCGACCAACAATTAGGATATGCAATACAACAAATTAAATAAGGGAAATAGTGTATTCACACGGGTACGCGCAAAATACTCGGGTTCAAAAATGAACCGCTACTACCAACAAAAGACGTGGGTGGGTAAATCCCGGTTTGGTTAAGGGACGAGAGTGGTCAAAAAGTTAATACGGACTCCCCCAATTATTATACTTTTATGTGAGGTAGTTTGATTCGGAAAAGAAAAAAATATTTTTAAAACTTGTGATTCAAAATGAATGATAGAAATTTATGTGGTTGTAAATCATTTCATTAATGATAAAATAAACATTTTATTATTAATGTATCCTTCTTTTTTAAACTCATTGAAAAAGAAAGCAAGTCACATTAAATTAAGTCAGAAGTACATAATATAAACTCTATTTTATTTCCATTGATTAATTGAATTAAGAGAGAGAAAATTGAAGCTTCCTTTTTCACACGTGCCCTATTACTTGTAATATTTTATGTATTATTATTTCTAAAGAGCAATAATCATAGACAGTGAGAACACAATATTTAAATTGATTTTCATTATTTTTCCTCTTTTCTTTTACTTTCTTTCCAGTCAACACAATAATTCAAGCAAGTACAAGTATAAAACACACAAGAATTCTTGACAGACAACATCTGAAACCAAAAGCGTTAATTTCCGACGCTTAATCAGTGTTCCTCAAATATACTAATTGTGATTTTGGAATCTATTTAAATAGGCACGATCTAATCATTAAAGATATATACATCTCCTCAACAATGGATATTTCATCAGCTACATGGTGGTCTGAAATGGTAAGACAAAATAATATATATATGAGCATGTACTAATCTACCTAGTCCTTTCTTTTTTTTCGCGAATGTTCCCTGTGAATTTTAATAGATAGCTTGTGGATTGTAATTAGTAACATTTTATTTGACAAATACAGGATGTTATGAATATGAATGATCTTCAATACACTGATCACGGCCAGATGATGGCCACATTTGATGATTTTCCATTCAATAATGACCTATTTACCTCTTGCACCTTCGATAATATTCAAGCTTCTCAAATATTTGAGGAGTTACCAGCCTTTTGCAGTTCAACAAAAGCAATTTACCAGAATAATACCACTTTTTCTTCTCCTCCGCCTTCTTCATCCCCCAGTGTTATTTCCATTTCCAACTCCAATTCGCCATCAGCCACTCCTACTACTACTGCCCAAAACTACTTTAAAAATTTGAATACATCTGTTAAGACTGAGATTCCATCAGGAACTACTTTAAACTTCTCCTCATCAAATACTTTTCCTGATTCTGATTACGATGATAGTAAGCAACTATTCCAGGCCATGGGATTTGGCGCTGATGATATTTCTCAGACGAAGAAGAAGATGAATTATAGTAGAACGCCTTTGCAGGCTCAAGACCACGTTTTGTCTGAAAGAAAGAGAAGAGAACGACTCACTCAGTACTTCGTAACTCTCTCCACCCTCATCCCTAACCTAAAGAAGGTACTACGTACTCCTAAATTAGTTTTTTCTTATCTCTTTAGTCATTTTTATGTAACTATTAGCTGGGTAGGGGAAATTAGTCTATGCTCGTCCTTTTTTGGAAGTATCTCTACCACAAATAAGAGAAAATGAAGAATAAGATCTATATATGTTACTGTAGTAATTAGCAACAACTTTTAGTCATGTTAGTACATTTGATTTAAGCCCTATATTTTTAGGAGTCTTTTAGCTCTTGTTAAAGATTTACAAGTCAATAGAAAATATAGAGTATATCTAGTTTTAGATAAGCTTAATTAAATAGATCTAGCAGCATGATCAACGCGAGTTTTATATATGAGATTTTGTAGCTACTGCAAAATCTTGAGATATGTAGTGTGCTTTAATTTTTTTAAGAAAAGAATCTAATTAATTAAGGGCTTCACATCTTCCCTCCATTTTGTATATGAAAATATTGTACACAAAATTCTAAAATAATAGTGTTACTTGGTATTGATTATGGTTTTTTTTGGGTATTTGTTGATCTCCAACAGTTGGATAAGGCATCAATACTTGGAGATGCGATTACATATATAAAACAACTTGAAGAACAAGTAAAAAGGCTCGACGAAGAAGCTAATAAGGAACCAGTAGTACCAGTTAAGAGAATTCGTTTGCTCTCAAATTATGACAATTCTTCAACTTGTAATGAAAACTCCAACAAATCAGTCATCCCAGATATTGAAGTTAGAGCTTCAGATGGAAATGTCCTGATTAGAGTTAGTTGCAAAAAGCAAGAGGGAATAATAAAGGAAATATTCAGCCAAGTAGAAATGTTTCATCTCACTATTACTAGTAGCAGTGTCATCCCATTTGGTTATGATACAACACACATAACTATTGTTGCTCAGGTACTAACTTAATCTTTCGAAATTCATACAACTATTAGATACTCCAATTGTGTTGCTTAAGTTTGTTTTCTTTTTTTTTGAAACAGATGGATCATCAGTTGAACATGACAACAGAATATGTTGCGAACAAATTACGTTTATCTATAATGAAGGCTATCAATAGCCATGAATAAGCCATGTCTCTAGTTGCATAGAGAAGAATTTCAAAAGCTAATTTTCAGTTATTTAAGGGACAGTGTTAAATTTAGATTAATGTGAGGGTGGATTTCATTATCGACTTGGTTTTTGGGTAAAAGGTTTTCATTATTGTGGACTGGGGCATTGTTTTTTGTTTCTTTTTTTCGGGTCACAAAGTTGGGACCCGTTTGATCACAATAGCCCCAGTTCTGCTTTTTACAAATGAGGCTGACTCCCTATTTTTTGACAAGTCATGGAGTTACACTAAGTAGTCATTTTCTTGTTCTCCTTTGGGGGACTGCTAGCTACAGGCTCATACATGTTTGTTTGTTTTTGGGCTTTAGGTAACTAATTTTTGGCCTTCTGTTGTATACTACTCCACAATTGTTTTTGTTTAATTATGTTGATGGTGTAATAAATAGGAGTACATGTTTATTGGTGTTAATTAGTGGAAACTTCTTATCGTCTCTAATTTGGGTATATGAATATGAATAGTGTCATTCTTGTTAGTTCTATAAATTTGACGCATAATACACAGCGATAGGGAAAGAAAATTTAACAAGTAGTGTTTTTTCTTGTAATTTCTTAAATACTCCCTCCGTCCCTATTTAGTTGTCCACTTTAAAAATGACACATAGATTAATGCAACAATGATTAACATAGTGAAGTTACAATTTTACCCTTATAGTACAATTTACAACTCCAAAATAAATTAACTCAAGATAACTAATCAATGTTGGAAAGTTCATAAGTTTATTTACTTTATTTATGACAACTTTATTTAAATAAAGGTATAATAGGAAAAAATTTGTTGTCCTTTCTTGATTTGTCAAAATGGACAACTAAATAGGGACAACTAAAAGAAGAAATATGGATAACTAAATAGGGACGGAGGGAGTAACACATAAAAATCCATAAATATGAGTGCTCTAAAGAAATTAGTAGCATGCACGTTCTTCTAAATCCTAGCTATAAATTTGCACAATCAAAGAAGATAGACAAATTTCTTAGGTGTACTCTTCCATCGTGCCAACAAAAATCCCCTAAGATAATATTTCACTACAATGGTCTTTTTAAGAAGTTTCAATACCCGCACACGTACAACAATAACATATTTAATGTAGTCTAACATCAAAATGAGATATCTTAAAGTGGCTGTTTTCGATAGACCCCCAGCTCAAGCTATAACACTCTAAAAAAAGAATTAATGGAAATTAAAAAAAAAAACAGACAGTAAGAAATTAAAACAATACTCACACACACACCTTGCCTAAATGTTTCTCTTACACCATCTGAAACTCTATTGCCAACAAAATAACTAATGTGATCCTAAATTTTCCACTCCGTTCTACGAAGTTATATTTCTATAACAACGTAATCTCCTTCATAAATTTTCTCTATACGCAATATGAGTGAACTCAAAACATAGGTAATTTTGAATTATTAGTTTAAAAAATTCCCAGTTAATATGTGCATAGTGGCATACGGTGATGACATTATTTTTTGGTGTCGAAAATTTGACTTCTGGGTAATTTAAATTTTTTTTAGGCAACTAATACATAGTTTACTGACTTTAATGTTACAAAAAATAATTTTATGATTTTGGTGTTACACAAAAGTAAATTTAGTGAGCATCAATGAAATTAACCCCAATAACACCCATTTGAATATTAAAATTATAATTCATGAATAGTTTAGGGTATTTATTTTTATGTATTCTATCCTAAAAGTATATACGATAGTCTTACTTAACTTTATGAAGCTCTTTTTTCCATTTGACTAAACGTTGTCCAAATTAGAACATCAAAAAGTTTCAACTTCTTCTTTTACTTGAATCAAATAAAGGAAGAAATATAATTCAAATGTTTGAAAAGTAGTAGTAGAAAAACTTGATGAACTGCCATTACCTTATAGTAAGTGAAATAGTAGAGAAGACTTGGAATTCCTTAGCACCCCCTACTTGAAAATCAACTCAAAAAGTTACTATAATACTATTCCCTGATGCTTCACATTTATTTAATTTTTTAATCATATTCCCTGTTCATTTATTTTGCTTTTTGGACGGTTAATGCATCATTTAATGGGATAATACGAATCCTTTTTTGTTTCAAAGTTGAACAACTTTAAAAAAATAAGAAATTATTCCTGTCAATCTTGATTTAAAAATTATTTGGAAATTCTAACATATAACTATGTAATTACATAGTTTAGTAATTATAGTGATACGTTTATTTTCTCATAACATAATTATAATGTATGTAATTACTCTTTGTTTCATTTTAGTTAAATTGGAGGTAAGAAAAGGGAAAATGGGGGAGGAAATTACAAGGTGGAGCTTACCAAGAAGATAGTTTAACCAATATAACTTAGCTATTAAGATTCTCCGTCTTTTGCACTCAGTTCAATATTGATCAAGTAGTTAGTTGACCAGACAAATATAGCAAACAACTTAATGATTTGCTTATTTGAGAAAGTTATTGTTTTGCTTGAACAAATGTATAAAATCAAATTTTGTGAATTATGGACTACACATTATTCATTAACGTTAATATCAATCACATTTAAGTGTCACAATAACACATTTTTCTTATTAATTAATTTAAGAAAATCCTATTTGACCATCCATAAATTGGCTAAAAATGCCAAAGCTCCATCATTTCTATGATAGATGTAACAATAATTGGGCCCAAAAGCCCACAATTGTAGTTTGGCTCGGGTTAGACTGGACCCAGACTGTAGTGGATCATACACTCGCTGAACAGTTTAGCCACTAATGAATTAAGGGTGACAAAAGAGTTTCAAAATTAAAAAAAAGTGACACAAGTTTTAATTATTGAGTAGAGGTGACAATTTTAAAATTAGTGTTAATGACACTAATTTTAAAACCCTCAAGTTATATTATTTACATAAAAGCCCTATTTTCCTCAATTCCACACCCTCCCTTCTCTCTACCCTTCTGCCGCTAACATCCCCTCCCCTGTTGCCATCGTAACCGATGTCGTCACCACTTCCTCCTCTACCACAACCATCAGTTCTTCCTCCATTGCCACCACTCTCTTATTCTTCCTCTTTTACCACCATTGTTGCCACCTCCTTCTTCTCTACCTCTGCCTCCACAACAACCATCACCTCCACATTCGTTGTTATCACCAACATCTCATTTAATTTGCCACTCTACCACCCTCTTTTTTACCTCCCTTGCTACAACAATTATTGTAGTTGTTACAGCAACTTGAGCAGTTGTTGAGCAAACTTGAGCAATTGTAGAAAAATCTTCAACAGTTGCTACAATAACTTCAACAGTTGCTGAGCAAACTTTAGCAGTTGCTGAAACAACTTCAACAATTGCTACAATAACTTCAGCAGTTATTGCGACAACTTCAGTTGTTGCTTGATTTTCTACAAAAAAAATAATTCAATGACTTCAACTTTAAAATTTTTAAAATTAAAGCTAATTAGTTTGTGAAATAGGACCAACAAGAGAAAGAAAAAACGTGATAAAAAATAATGAACGACAACGATAATGATAGCAACAACAAAGAAGAACAAGTAAATGGAAGAAGAGAAAAAGAAATGAAGAAGAAGAAGAAGAAATCTGGAAAGAGAAATAAAGAAGGAAGAAGAGGGAGAAAGAAATCTTGAAAGAGATTTTAAATTTTGAAATTTAAGAAGAGATGGAAAACTTTTCAAACATTTTGAAATTAAAAATTGGGTTTATTTTGAATATTTGTAAAAGTTTAGAAGTTTTAAATATTATATTTTAGATCCCAATTATCTTAATCACTAATTAAAAAAAGGGAAAAAGGTCAAATATACCCCGAACTATCGTAAATGGTATCTAAATACCATCCGTTATATTTTAGAACTCGGATGCCCCTACCGTCTAATTTTTAGAACGTGTATACCCTTTGGACTAATGGAGGAACACGTGTCACCTACTTAACAACCTATCCAAAATTTATTTAATTTTTACATCCAATCAAAAAATTGACCCAACTAATAAAAAACCCACCCAAATAATTTTTGACCCGCACCGAAATAAATCTAATTTTTCCTTTCTTCTTTAGTCCAAGAACCAGTCACGCAAAGAATTGCAACGACTCCATCTTCTCCGGTGAAGCTCCAGATACGAGACCATCTCTAACTGCTATCGAACCTAACCTCCCTCGCTCCAGCGAAATCAGCGGGGTAGTGACCCTTAATCCACCATGAAACCTGACCACCACTCACCCATCTCTCCCTCACGGTTGCTCCAACAGCTCCGGCGAACCAAACCAGCGACCATGGAATGGATTTATAGTCGCTAAACTCAATAACTTTTTTACATAGCTGAAACTTTGAAAAATGAAGATTGTAGGACTGAAAGCCAAGAAAAGAGATCTGTGAAAAACCAAAAATCAACAATACACTCAATAATCACACTACAATGAGAAATATAAAATAAAATCAGTCATAAATCAGACAAGAAAAATATGAGAGGATAGGGAACAAACATACCTCTAGCTCTCTTTACATAGCTTCAACAATGGAGGTCAAGAAGATATTCCGTAACCCATAACTAATCTGTGGCGTGGGAATGTTAGATTCCAAAATGTACCACAAAAAAAAGATTTATGGGTAAGCAAGAAGATAAAACGATGGAAAATTGCCTCTAACATCAGAAAAATCAAACTCAATTTCATCAAACTGAAAACCACCCAAAGTGCTATATGTATGAGTTTCCAACTCTGTTTCTGTCCTTTATTCTATTAAAAAAAAAGTTGATGAGAATATCTTAAATTGGAGTATGTAATATGAGATTTAACTAAAGAACAAAAGAAAATATCTAATGGATTCTCTGTTAGAAAGGAAAAGATTAGAGAAGATGGTCTATTGGGGTTTTGGTTATAATTTCGGTGCGGGTCTAAAATTATTCGGGTCAGCTTTTTAATTGAAAATAAAAATTAAATAAATTTTGGATAGGTTGTTAAGATCGTGACACGTGTCCCTCTGTTAG